GCTGGCGCGCAGTTCCGTACGTAGCTGGTTTGTCAGAAGAATTCGCCAGACTGGTGAGCGAATTTGGGATCGGCGTCGCGCACAGACCTGAAGCCACAATCCGCCGTCAACTCATGCAGCCCAAGGACCCGATTCCCATAAATCAGAAATCGGGGGTCATCTACCGCATAGACTGCAATTGCGGCCAGGCCAGTTATGTTGGTGAAACCGGAAAACAGGTCCGCACGAGATTGCATGAGCATGAATTGGCCGTGAGACGGAAGGATAAACTCTCTTTGGTAGCCGCCCACGCCTCCTCGCCAGGACACGCCTTTGACTTTGGGAGCGTGAGAATACTAGGACAGTCAGACAACCGAGTTGCGCGCCTGCTACAGGAAGCGTGGCACTCAACTGAGGACGCGATTAATCGACATATCGATCTGCCAATCGCCTATCAAGCACTCCGTGAACAAATCAACAGCGCAGCTAGAGGTCACCCCCGGCAGAGGTGAGCTAAATACACGACGAGCTGTACAGTTTTTTCATTCCTTGACGATGGGCTCGCGTGAGAGTTCGAAACGTCGGATAAATAAACCACTGGTCCCAGCGATCGCCTTCCCGTCTTCTTCTATGCCTCTAATTGTCTAAGTGGCTCGTTTAATGTGTAATAATGCTGCAGCTTTGCATACGTGAAGAATTCACACTGCATAATTATCGCGTGCCTATCGCATCTCACACCTGACCCGTAGACAGCCGTCACGACATCGCGTCCTTTGAAACCCGAAAAGTCTGTTTACCGAGGACTGTACATTTGATTACAGTTCTCACTTTGGAAATATCAAAGAGACTTAAATTTAGCACATTCTCTAGTAAAATTTTGAGTGGGTATGCAGAGATAATGTGGCTGTCCAAATGTAAGGTTTCCTCTGAAAACGCATTCGAAACAGACTTATGGAACGTGTTGTGTCTTAAGTGGGTAATAAGCAGACGACTTCGTCTGCATGTTTAGATTTTCCCTAAATGAAGTACGCCGGCGATCCCGACTTCCGCCGATCCTTCGGAGCTACCTTCGCCTTTTCACTGTTGTACTAGTACATTCGCACTTTATTTTCAGTTTTCAAAAGAACATGGGACTACTCTGCAGACGTTTAGTGTTTAAATCCTAACCAATTATAAATGACTAGTTTCTTCTTTGGGTACTCCCCTTCTGCATATACGGCGAGTGACCTACTCGATAAAATGTAAACTGAAATTCTAAAATATGTTTTCGATTAAAGTTACTTCAGTGGAGTTGTAACGTTGGCTGCCGTGAAGCAAAATCCCGTGATATTTTAGTCCCACCAGGATGTCCTTATAAATTCAAGTAAATTTTAGAAATTTTCAACTCGCGCCTTCGGTTGCGGGGCTTGTAGTTATGAGATTATCTGAGACCGTGAAGTGCCCGTTCAAATAATATCACGCCTGTTCGTTTATTGGAGCACCTTATAAAGGACACATGGTCCACATCCACTACAAAATCGGATGAGTTCTGTAGGGCATCTTCCTTACACGGGAAATATATACCCTGCAGTTTGCAAGCCGTAAACTCAAATGCAACGGCAGACCGGGCCCAAAAATACTTGGCGATCGGAACACTTTTTAAAACCGAAAGATACCATTTCGAAGACCATAAAATTTGAAGGTTATTTGCTATCAAATTGGTATAAAAACAGACACCTTTCGACCTATTTTAATTCATAAAGACATGAGAAAGTAAATGGAAGAATCCGCACCGATTGATTAGTCGTTTTTTGCCGAAAGTGGTCTTCGAATGCGGCCAAAATGGAGTGCAATCAAAAGCCAACACCCTGGTGTGCTGCATGCTGCGCTATATTTGGTGTTAAAACCCTGCTTGGAAAATTCATCCTAGTCGAAAGTAACTTCCAGAATTTCGGATAACATTCCATGAGATAGGTCACCTACTGGCAGCAGCTGTCTCTAAAACCAACGGATCGGAGTTTGACCATTTCTGTCTGAAGATATACCCGACCTACAGTGGTAGCAACAGTTAGGTTGCGACGAGCTGATAGACTCCGGCCCGAAAGTTATTAACCAACAGCCTAAACCTCGCCTGTGGACTACTTGCATGGCGAGCGATATGGTCGACAGGGTTAGAACTGGACGGCTGAAAATAAAATAAGCCAGAGACAACAAGTATTAATCTACCATCAATCCCGTTGGAAACCCGAAAGCTTATCATGACCAGTGTTACACCCATCTTTGTGCCTATTAGGCACACGGGGTCATCGCTCGGTGATGAGGGTCATGAAATGAGGTACTGGATTCGGAAAGGCGTCCGCCAGAAATAATCCCAGGCATACTTTGCCCAAATGAAAACAAAGAGGTAGTCCAGTTGGTCGTCGATGACCGAACAAAGCACAACATAAACTTTCGTCCAGTGGACACTATTGATTAGTAAAACAAAAAATCTCGTAACAGGTCAGGTCAGATCCCCATCCTTTGGGAAGGGATCCTCGGGTAGTGAGGGCATTTACAAGGGACAAGTGACAACTGAGTGTCAACGGTTCAGAAGACATTCGCAGTCTGGATTGCAGAGGGAACTATCATCACGGCCTGTCCGCTCGGAATCCGATGCCGGGTTTTCGGAAGCTGCCACCCTTATCCGCTGACCTTCTACACCGACTGAAGTGGCTGGCAAACCGTCGTTGAGGCTTTTCAGAAGGACACATGCTTGACAATACTTCTGGCTGGAAATATAGCCACATGCTATACAATTACCTGTCAGAAAAGAGTAGCTTCAGTTAGGCATGACGAACGAAGGAAATACTTCTGGCAAACGCAAGCTGCCCCATTGTTTGCTCCTCAATACGTTATCACTAGTGCGGCGAAGAGGCCCGCGTCGAAGAGAAAGCTAGAAACTGTCCGGTTTCCCAAGAGTACTATTTCCGAGAATGAATCCCAAAGCATCAGAAAGAAGACAGCAGATTTTGATTACGAACACTAGATACAGGTAGTACCAAATTATAGTTTAGTTCACTAAAAAAAGTATTGGAAGAATCTCATGAGGATAACCTGAGAGGTAAGGGGAGACCTCAGGGGCAAAGTTACCAAGTACGTCGGCTAAAATGAACAGAAATTACAGACCCGTCTGCACAGGCATTATCCGACAACACAGAGAATAGTCGCCAACTCCCAATGCGCTCTGGCTAGATACTGGAGTCCCGAAGAGTGGTCATTTTAAGATAACCGTCAAAATATTAGGAAACTCTCTAGATGCTTTTAAACGACAGTTCAGACCGACCACCCCCCCCCCCTTCGGCTTACTGAATCGTACGCCATTATATGCACGGAGACCAGGAGAGGATAGGTACTGTAGTCTTGGCTAAGGTAGGTAAACTGTCCAGAGTCAAGCTGGTAAGCAGCTCGTCCGATAGGGAAGGAGAAAAGCTATCAAGCCGAGCAGTTGGTACAGGGGTTCAATTAGCCTCTGACGACGAAATGACAGAAGTCACTACTAAGAATACTGCATCAGCTAGGACAGCTGCAGACGGTCTACGCGTCGAAAAGAAGAAGCCGACCGGTCCAAGGCCGAACAACTTGGCAGACCATTTAAAAATGTTAAACAGTTTGGCAGCGCACACTTCAAAAATAAACAACATATCGTGCTGTTTGGGACAACACCTACTTAATGAACTCGCTCATTCCATCTATATCTTCTTGTTGCGCAGGAATTATAGACCATCGTGCTGGCATCCCTAGTGAGGCCAAGAATAAACAGTGACAGCTTGCTTCGCATACGGCGAATGAGCGGGTAAGCGTAAATATAGGTAACAATAATAGATGACGTGTAATCCAATTAACTGTTCGTGCGGTATATAACAGCTAAGCAACTTAGCATTAAATGGCAACAGGGAAATAAGTTTATCCTCTAAAAGTGCGGAACCGTAGGACGAGTCAGGGGTAAAATCAAGTTAGGTTGGGTAGATGATCAGGTAGACCAGAAGCTAACCTTGAGTTGGCATTTTGACTCCTTGGCGGATAGCCATTCGCTCGCCGGAGCTGATTATGTCTGAAAGGCAAGAAAGGGAAGGCGGGTGAGGCTTCTGACTTATAATCTTATGAGGAGGAGGAGGAGGATGAGGAGGAGGAGGAGGAGGAGAGCAGGTTAAGCGGTCCCGCTGTGGTCAGTTTACCGAGGATAGCCCTTGGACGGAGTTTTTCCAAGTCCTTGACGTAGGCTCGCACGTGACCCCTAAATATGAGGATGAAGGCGATGATCCAAAAGTACCTGTAAGCCATTGGTGCATACTTGCACTCTGTAGAGAAGTAGTCCAGTTTACGGGCATGCGCATACATGACAATTTCCTTTTCGTAGGCATACTTGAAAGGCTTGAAGCGCGGAAGGACTCCATCTGCGCCCTAAAAGAGAGTTATTTTGATTATTATCTTCCAGCCCAACTACTAGATTTGTGTGGATGTTGTAACACGGCAATCGAGGTCTTGAACCAGCAAAAAAGTACAAACTGCACAAGCTGAGATTGCTGAAACTATGGCGAGGACCGAGTATTTTGCGTTGGCGGTCCATTGTGGACGTGTACGACAGAACCAAGTCAAAGGGAGCTATAAGCACACCAGTGGCTAATGACGGTCGACGCACCAGTTTCCGCTGTCTTTGCCGGCAACGCC